GAGACTTGGAAGAGAATCAGCTCAATAGCTTCTTCAATTTCTTCTTTTTCATCTGTTTTCTTTTCTTTCTCCATTGATGTGATTGCTATTCGAAAAGGAATTTCTCACGGGAATGAAAAATTAATGCAAGCAAAAAGCGCGTTCTTTTCTTTCCCCCCTGTAATTTAACCGCGCTGAAGTTCTTGACTGTTTCGCTTCCAATCTGGAATTGGCAAAATGTGTCTGGGGAAAAAGAATTTTAGAATAGGGGTAGGCTGGGAATTTGGAAAACAAGAGGGTGGGTGACTAATATTAAAAATTTTATTAGAAATAGGATGCCGGAGTTGATGGGACTATCTAATTCTGATCGAGTAGTTTACTTCGATTTGATTATGATTATTGTGGACCGCAGGTTTGAAGCATTCTGTAGGCTTTCAGCCGTCGGATTCTTTGACTGTGGAAGTCAACCAGTTGTTGCTCATGAGTTGATATGGTGGTTTGCTTGATTTCTAAGCAAGGGAGATCCAGTAAAGTCCTTATGATTATCTGAATTTAGGTGAGATTAGATACAGGGAAAGAAAAAAGAAAAGAAAAGAAATCAGATTTATGTATGAATAATTTGGATAGGAATTAAAATAGATAATGAATTTTTTTTTTTTACTAAAATAAAGAGTTGAAAATTTCCTATCATACATGCACGGTCATCAAAATAGAAAGAAGTTTGAGGGTGTGTATATGAAGAAAATTGAGGTCGAAACCTGGAAGTCTCATCCACTCTTTTGACTTACAAGAAAGTCAAGGTATTATTCCAAAGTTGGTAGAGAATATCCGGATATTTCCCATCTCTTCTGCAACAACATATAGCCATTTGTTCACCTAGCAAAACAACTTACTAGTACTATATGTTGTTATTTGTATTAAAGGAAAAAAAGGGATGTCTCTTCAATTGGTACTTCAAAGGTTATGAATTAGTAGATCAAGATGAAAATTATCGAACACAAAAATGGTATTAGAGGTTCCTGCCATCAACATATGTGGTGTATAGTTTGGACTTTGGCATATAGTTTCAGCTAGATTTTGCTTAGCAGTCTTTTTGCTTGTAATGACTGTCGGCAGTATGATCAGTTGAGAATTTGCTGCTTCTTCAGAGCCGGAGAAGTTCAAGAAAACATTAGCAGCTAAGTATAATCGGTTGATGAGTAAAAATGTACAAAAATCACCTTAGTGGTTCCTGCTATCAACTTGCCATGAAGAGCAGAAGGGTGTTCACAGACCAGAGGCTGCATTGGAGCAACGGTTGCTCCATGCCAACTCTTTTCACCACAACTCAACCAAGACAGTGATTTTGGTGACCTTTCGTGCTTGTTTGTAACAAGAAATGGATCCATTTCCTTCTGACAAGATTTCAAAAGTTCAAATTCCTATATAGCCTATGGATTTACAGATAAATTTCCTTAGGAGCACAGCCGAGATGCTGACTTAGTATGCTGCCAAAAAATGATTCCTCAGCGCGAACATTTAGTACATGAACTCTGTAGATACGAACTCCAATTGGTAACGCTAGTGATGAGACGGTTTGAGGGTGATGCTAGTAAGGCACAGTTGCAGTCACTGTCCTGTGCCTTGGATCCGTGAGAACCGTATTTACATTGATAAAGCCTGCTTCTCTCATTACTCTTTCAAGATCTGTCAAATAATACTCATCCAGGAATGGTTCAGTACTCTTCATTAGCGTAAATAGCACCGGTGATAATTCCTGAGACATGTATCAGGACAATCTAGTTCAGCAGCTTGGCTAGGAAAACCACATTATACCAGTCATCTTGAGAATTTTTGCAGAGCAGGAGATGGTAGGGAACAGAAACACCTATGAACTAACGCTTTCATGGTCAAAGTTATATGAATCTAAGATGTTGCTCTGTATTATATATCTGTATTGCATATATTACAATGTTGTCTCCTATTTCAACATGTGCAGAAATTTTGAACATGTAGTGCTATTAGTTTGCTCAATCGCACAAACTGTAGGCAGAGAAAAGGAATAGGAGAAGAGAACTTGCCTGAAGAATCTTTGATTTTGGCTGCAAAAAGGAAACAAGTGTTTATCAGATTGAAATGATCCTTTGGTAAATATACAATTCAAAACCTCAGGAGTTATATTATTTACCGAGTTGTCTGTGATTGCAAAAGTTCCTCCAGGTCGAAGCAGTCGAAGGGCTTCTCTCACCATATTTTTTATCGCTCTTTCAGGGCATTCATGGAACTGTAACAGCTCAAATGATTGAGACTCTGAATCATAGCATTATTATTTCAAAGAGTTACCGGAAAAAAGAGCATGGCACGCACTTAAAATTCTAAAGGTGCAACCATGGGCAAGAGTACTACAGCAGCTGCCTAGGCAAAACTTGTGAAGGCTTATACACCAAAGAATGTTTCTGTCAATTTTCATGCAACATGCTTCTTGCGTGAAAATTGAGCAAGCGAAGATGCTACTCTTCATTTGGTAATTTATCCATGACATTGTAAGGTTGCGTGGATTACAGCTCAAACTTCTAAGAGTAGCAAGAGCCACAACATGTTATAAGAGAGTTTTCTCCTAAAATGTTCAGTTTTAGGAAGAACAACATGACTCTCTGATGATGATTTAGTACTCATTCCAACAGAAAATGTATGACATGCTTGCATTCTGTCAGGAATTTTTGACATACCACATAAGCAATAGAAAGAATGTCAAATGATTTGGAAGGCAAGCCTGTACTTTCACCATTATCATGGACCCAACAGATGGGATTCATTCTTGGGCTGCTTTTCTTTTCTTTATATTGAGCAACAGCAAGAAAATATGGTGACAGATCCAGGCCCTGCAGAAAATGCAGCAATAAGATTTTAGAGCACTGGAAAGTGTACCAGAGCGTAGATGTACTTCAACTGAAGTACTGTTTGAAGTCCAATTGCAAAATCTTTTAGCTAGATCTCTTTATTTTGAGACGTGCTCTACTTTTCAGCCTTTATTTCTTGTAACATGAAGAGGTTACTTAAGTAGATGCTGCATTGATTTTGTAGGTTACCATTGCATATTAGATCATTTCACTTGGGGAGTGGAGAAACTAGCTAGAATACTTACAGTCACTCTAGCATTGGGAAATTTATCAGCAAGGCATCTTGTGCTGACACCAACTGAACATCCGATATCAAGAATTTGTCTGACAATATTGTCTTCTGAATATTTCTGATGATGTTCTTCAATTGCATTCAGCCAATTTCCACGAACTATTTGATTAGCTTCATCCAATGAAGAAGCATATGGTATTGCCCGTCTCATCATTGACATAGTTGCAGCCTCTGCCTCAGCAGCAGCCTGTTGGAGAATCTCATTATGGAATGTATCAAAATCTCTATGCTTTACCTCGAAACTGGTGAGTACTGCACTTACTGCTTCAGCATTACTACTGAAGCAACTGGTAACACAAAATCAATGATACATATTTTAGTAATAAATTCGAGAACATTAAATCAACCATTATGCACATTACCAGCCAGGAAAGATTGCCCTCATCATATGCATGGAAGGGATTGAGGTAATCTGCACAGGAACCGCAAGTATGAAACAAAATCAGTACCCAAATTAGTCCACATAGGAAATGCCGGTTTATTTATCTATTTTTTCTGATGTCTTGATTCAAGGTCACTTCCCTAATCTTTTAGTAGAGTCTGAGGAAAGAAAAAAGAAGAAACTTAAGCAACTTAAATTCTGGAATACAACAAGCTTCTTTTATTGTAGAATTATCAACATCAATGTTATATTGAAGTTATCATTGTTGCTGTTGAAACATAATCTCTTAATTAAATGACAGACTACAAATTCAGGTACAAACTTTCTAACCACACAGCTGCTGCTAGTCCAATGAACGAATATTGGAGACAAGAATTTAATCCAGTCTTCACCGGTACCACAATAATAGAGAACTTACAATCAGGGTAAACAAGAGAGGGATCCTCAATACTGTCCATTTCTTTGTATACGTCTGATTCCAGTATCTGTCTAGTCATTTCCCTCCATGGAATATTTGTCTTCTCAGCTGTACTGTTTCAAAATCCCACCAAAATATTCCGAAAGAAACCGAAAACCTTTTTTACACCCAAGAATTTCAGCAGCAAAAATCACCAAAATAAAAAATGAAGCCGCATTTCTGATGTAGAATACAGTAGTACCTTATGAGTACTTGTCTTGCGCCAAATTTCATGATAGAGAAGAGAGGTCTGAAGGAAATGAGGGCTCCAACAAGCCGAGAAAGCGGAGTTTCACCGGTCCACCGCGGCCTCTCCAGCTGCCCCTCCTCAAATGCCACCTTCGATGACCCTTGGCCACTGCTTCCGCTAGTTGATGCTGTCATTTTAACCATCATCCTACTTTTGGCACGGCTTTTTGGTGCTCTTCTTCTAAGTGAGTCATGATGGCCTCCTACATTATCAGTACTGCTGCTTCCTACGGATGTTTTGATCCATAAATTCAGATTGCCGAGCTTTGATTGAGCGCAAAAGGCCATCGCTGAAGAAGTGCTTCTTCTCAGAGATATCGTCCGTAGTAAGGAGAAGAAGAGGCAATTGGCAAGGAACAACAAACCATTGAACAGACGTTAATTTTCCTAAGGTGGAAATCTAATCAGCAAAATATTCTTGACCAATTATATACTGACACCTATGCATTACGTTTTCCAAATCTTCTTTGTTGAGCGTCTATCTATACTCCACAACTTTTTGTCAAATGAGAGAGAAGTCCAACAAATGGGGTAAATTTTAGTATATTCCACCTTTAAATTATAGTATCAAATTTTCATGTTGCGGCGCAAATTTTATTGTTTGTAAGACGCTCTTTTAACTTATTCCAGTTTGGTCCAACTGTTATTCCAGATTTGTGAAAACCTAATCACCAGATTTGTGCAAGTGAAAATGAAATTAGCTGATTTTAATTTATTAGTTACTCTATATTCCCTGAAAATTCCACACTAGTGCAAGTCCATGAATGAAATTTGTTTGGCTATTATTGGTTTGCAATTAGATAGAATCTATCCTATCCAGAAATTCTCTCCACCCTACTAGTAGTTTCACCCATTGAATACAGAGTTGGACATTGAGAAACATGTAAACAGCAATAAAGAAACATGTAAACACTATGAGGTACTGAGTCAACAAACAATCCCTTTGTATGCTATGCTGCTGTTCAACATAGAACAGGATTCATCAAAATCCCCCAAACATGGTTATATGCTTTGCAACTCTTTTCCTCACTGCTGCACCATTGTCGATTCCCGCATGTGGACTCATCGTTGGACGCATGCTGATTCCCATTCCAATTTCCAACACACACAGTTGTCTGCTTGCATATGACACACTGCAGTAAAACTGTAACTCAGGTCAGGTGTCTGTCCTCATGGAAATACTTTGGTCCTAGTCCCTGCAGCATAGATAACAGGCACCATTTGCTGCTCAAGAAATAGGCAGTCATTTGCTGAATCAGGAAAAATAGTAGAACAAAATCAAGCTACAAGGAGACGAAAAGAATAGCAGCAATTTGACCTTCCCACTGTTACTCTTCATCCTCCTTTCTTTCTTCATTTTCATCATATTTCCATCTTCCCCTCAAATCTCATATATAATCTTTTCTTGGTGGTAAACCCAGAGGCTTTATGTGATTGGGCAATTTATAGGCAAAAACTAGTAAATTAAATTGGTGTTTTTTTCCCCCCCCATTTTCTGATTTTAACACCATATGTGATTGGGCAATTTAATGTCAATTTGACTCTGTCTGTGTATAAAAGGATTTGTCAATTTGACTCTCTATGTGGTAATTTGACACCATATATGGTTTTGTTGGAGCAATGAAGCTGCAACAACTGTAAAAGAGCAATTGAAGGACGAGTCAGGATTTGGCAGTAATATAGTACTAGCATTTTAAGGAAGCAGTTTTTTTTTTTCCTTCCGGGAATTATTAAAACACTAATAGAATTATAAACAAACCGAATAAGTAGAATAAAAACAGAACATTGGAAATATATTAACTTACAACTTACCAGTTAAAAACAGAACGAGTCAAACTTTGTTCGAAGGAGAGATACCAACATGGGGAATGTGTGCAATCTTGGGCCACTCTGCGCCACTTCCTTTGGTGCATCTCTCTGCTAAAAGAGGACAGCTGTCGATATGTAGATAATTTAAATTGGTGAGGTGTCGCATTGCTTCTGCAGAGGGCAATTGTCTGAGGTTAGAGCAATTACAAATGTACAATTCTCGAAGATTCCGAAGGCTACCCATCCACTCTGGAAGAACTTCCAACCCCTCAAACTCCGCAATACATAAAGTTCTCAAGTTAGAGAGATGCTGAATTTGGTCTGGGAGAGACGTGATTTTTGGCCATCCATACAATCGAAGATGCTCCAGCGAGACGAGATTGGTGATGGAGTGTGGCCACGGGAAATGATCAAGGTCGTCAGAGAAGCCATCACCGAGATCCAACGATCTGAGGTTGGCTAGACTGTGTAGAGCCATAATTGGCCAAGAACCAGGGTCACGAGAATGGATCATCAACCGCTCGAGCGATGTGAACTTCTCAAGATTATTACTCAATGAAGGATTCAACTTATCACATCCGCTTAGACTACGTAGGGATTGGGGGTTGTTCATATCTAGAGAAGCATCTAATAATAAAGCAGGGCAGCCTCCTACGACTAAGGATTCAAGAGATGTGAGGCTATTCAAATTCCTTAGACAAGCCAAACTTCTGCATTCCCATATCCACAACCCCGTAACAGACGTTAAGTTCTCCATATCTGGTAAAAAAGCCAACTTGGGGAGCCCTTCGATTTCCAAGTACCGGAGATTAGGGAATACCTTAATTGATGAAGAAGAATCCGAGGGAACCATTGCATCTGACCACTCCTCTAGCCTTTTCATGTTCCGCAGCCTAAAATGCTGTAGTTTCGGAAACAGAGTGACTGGTTTCGCCTCTCTGCTACTGGTGCTGCTACTACAAGAAGCACTGCTCCTTGCATTAATATCGAGATGTGTAAGGAGACCATAGAATTCTGCCCCAATGCGCTTCACATTGTGTAAGGAGACCATCGCTAAGGACTCGAGACAAGGCAAGTCCCCTAGTGATGGTACTTGTTCACACTTACCCAATTTCTCCAACCTGAGGTGTACCAGATTCCTTAGGAGTACCGTCACGTGATCCTTTGCCACCATCCACGACGGAAACCTTGAACCTTTGAAACCATTAATGGCTAAACTTTTCAAGTCTGGGTGAGGTTGGAGACCTTCCATGACACTATTGATATTGTCGTCATCGCAATCTTCATTTGTATCATCCCATTCAAGTGTTAAACTTTGAATGCTTGATTTTTCGGACAACTTTGCTTTTGCTGCCGATTCAAAGCTGCTCACATTCTCAAGTCCAAAAATTTCTAGCTCGCCTTGGAGGTTGCGCAAGTGTTCCAGCTCCTCAAGCTGACATCCCTTGTCTTGGCTTACCATGAAGTAGGGCAGCGTCCGAAGATTAGCCAGCTGCCCAATCCCAGGGAACAAACATCGGGGCCAACCCCCAAAAACCATGGAAAACTCGAGATGCCTCAAGTTAATTAAATTGCTGAACTTCTTAGGTATCTCTTCCAAGCGACTTACTTTCAAGGTCATCAAATTGTAGAGCTTTGTGATCGAATCTGGCAGAGCGGTGATACCAGTTCGACTGATATCAAGATGTCTTAAATGTTTCATATCACCCACTGCATTCGGGAGATGAGTAACAGCCCTGCAGTCTACTTTTAATACAGAAAGGTATTTAGAACTTTCCAAGATGTCTTCAAGCATAATACCATCATCCCCAATATAATAAAGCGTTTGCAAATTTGGAGGAATCCCTTCGATATTCTTTAACATCTTTCCTCGACTCAGAACAACGGTCAAATGCACAACTTCATCATTATGACTGACCACCATGCCATTCTCTGTATTTAAGAAACAATTATTTGACACTCGCAGTGAAAGATCATGCACAAGGTCGTGCATCCGGCAGCTCCGAATTCCGTTAATGGAATTCTTATAACCAGCTTGCAACAAAGAACTCCGAAGCAATACGTTGAAGCAGTCGCTGCCTATATCCTCCATTTGCAAATGACCTCCTCCCTTGGCATCATTAATCAATCCCTGGGCCATCCAAATCTGTATCAAGCTTTCTTTTCTCATGTCAGCGTCCTTCGGGAAAATGGAACAACTTGCAAAGCATTGTTTCACTGACAATGAAGGTAAGTTTTCGTAACTCAGCTTCAGGACAGACATGACTCCACCTTCAGTGTTGGTAGACTCATTCCATATTTCACTCTTCTCAAGCTTCAACCATTCCGAGCCATCCTTTTTGGAATACAACAAACCCCCAATCACTTTGATTGCTAATGGCACGCCGCCACACTTTTTCAGTATCCTTCTGCCAATGTCCGCCAGATATTGAGTCTTTCTTGCACCACCGTCTGCAAAAGCTAGTTTTTCAAACAACATCCAGCTATGATCATCTGAGAGGATGTCCAGATGATGTAAACGAGATGCTTGCATTGCTGTGGCTACCTCATCACTACGTGTGGTAGCCAATATTTTGCTTCCTGGAGCACCCCCTATTGCCAACAAACGTCCCCTCATGCCATCCCATTTCTCTCGATTCTCATTCCAAATATCATCAAGCACAAGCAAGTAATTTTTTCCTTTCAGATTTCCTTGAAGCTTCCTCACCAGTGCTTCCGTGTTTGTCGTCTCAGCACTTTTTCCCTCAAGGGATTGTAGCATCTCGTTCAACAGCCTCTCCACTTTGAAATCATCAGACACACACACCCATATTGTTTTATCAAAGTGCTTTGCTACACACTCATTTTTTAGCACCAGCTGTGCAAGGGTTGTTTTACCCTGGCCACCCATCCCAACTATTGAGATGACAGGTAAATCCTTCTTATAGTCTGAGCTAATTAACATGCTTACAACTTGAGATGCCTCAACTCCCCTTCCCACCGTTTGTGACTCGTCCACAAAAGGATCAGTCGACCGATCCTCTTTTTGATCAGCAGATGTCATGCGTATTTGAGCTGGATGAAGCCCGATTTGATTTGCTTCTCTGTAAGCTTCCTCTAGAGATGCGCTAACATTCTTGATCTTGTTAGCCATCTCTGTACGAAAGGAAATAGGATTTGAGGAAGAAAAGAAGTTGCGTACCTTGTCGCGCTTCCGATTCTCAACCTTCTGCCGCAGAACTTCATATCCGAAGTCATCCAACACGATCTCAGCATCACGTGCTATGGACCGGAGCCTTTTGAGCCAGAGCTGCACGGCTTTGCTTGTTGATTGCTTGCACTTAGCATCAAAAATCAAAGCTTCCATCATCTCTACTTTCTTCGCAAGCTTCTGAAGGTCTTTCTCTACACCCCATACCCGGCTGATCTCGTCGGCAGCAAGTGGAAGTATCTTATTCAAGATTACACCAACACAACTGAGAGCAGCTTCAGCCATTTTCAGCGAAACTCTTTTACAGAAGAAGGTAAAATGCTTTGGTTGAATAGTTGGACTATTTTTGGCAGCTAGAGATGTTCAACATTCAACAGCTAGCGCTACAAAGTAGGGAACCCATTACTTATCTTTCGTTTTTTTCCAAAACGAAATTTCCTACCAAGTTGGGAAAACTTAAAAAAGTAGTGCTCCAAGCAAAGACTAGAGATGATATCCAACGACCAATCCAGGGCCACACGGCTTGTGGGTACCATTGAAATAATTGAATGTATAGATGTTAGTTGAAAGCTGAAACAGTACACGAGCTGGTTTTGGAAGGATCACCAACGACTAATTATGGTTTTTTCTTTCTTCATGGTAACATTCATGCATCTGGGTACAAGTTCTACACACTTTCAATCGAGTAATCCATTTTCAATCACCTTTTGTACATGTGACAATACTTATCTGTTCATTGCCCTAATGTTCTCATAATTCATTGCCAAAGCTGGAGAAAAGTGTTAAAAACATAAAAAAGAAAAAAAAAAAGCTTTGTTTCTTTCTTGAACAAAGCAATAGAGTAGCACACATATATCTTCCACTGAAAGAATTATTATCTTCGAGCAGTACTTTTTTTGTTTTTTGTTTTTTTCCTTGGCTTTTGGTAGGGTCTTCACATGTTAAAGCAAAAATACGTATGATAACAATAATTAGTGAAAGCCTTGGATGCAATGTGGAACTTAAAAGAAGGGATGAGTAAAAGATTCCCCGAGAAAGGGTGTGAAAACTTAAAGAAAAGGAATGGAAAATTTTGCCGAACATTGAAATTTCAACCGCTAGATACTCATAATGGTCAATATCTATTATTAAGTAGGCTCCAGTTATCAGACAAGATAATGCAAATGCCTAACCATACGTCCAAATTGTGGTCTCCACCAATACATCTTCATAAAGCAACTACTGACTCACGGCACCACCCATGATCATGAATACTCAGCACCTGTAAGTTGACATTTAACCGACTGCGGAAATTGTTCATTTTATTTGTCAACAATCAATTATCAACTAGAAGAGGAAGATCATAACAAATTTCCATCCACGAACCTGCAACATGAACTCAAGATATGGGGATAAGCTCTGGAGAAATATCCTTCTCTTAGGTTTCTTACGTATTTTCTCTAATTTAGATCCATAACAACACACTCTGCTCCTCATGTTTTTCATATACAAAGGGTCACCCTGGAAATTTATCAGCAATTAGTTGCTTCTACTTGTCCAAAAAATCCCTAGAAAATTTATCAGCAATGGGTATCATTAGTTGCTTCTAACTTCTGGTCCTGCAAGGTCTATTCCAAAGAGTCAGATAACAGAGAAGTCTGTAGCCCACGATGAAAGCCAACATCACAACTAAGTTACTCTATTTTTGTGACTCTTCTATGTCTAGATTTCTCAAGAATGCATCACCATACATCAAACATCCTGCTTCAACACCTTCTACACATTTCCCTCGGCCTTTGTATCCTCCAAACTCATTTAGTAGAAGACATTCAAGAGGATACTTCATCAAGCTGAAATAGTGCATGAAGAGCCAACACTTGGGTATTTCTTTGTTAGATATGAAGTACCCCGAGAAAAAAGAAGAATGCACCCATGATGCCTGCAATCAAAGACATTCCTGATGCCTGCAATCAAAGACATTCCTGATGTGAAATTCGGTGCCAGAGCACTGAAGCAGCTGCAAAAGAATTTGCCATTGAGAGAACCATCCAAGCCACCAGACAGAAATAAAGGAATCCATCGATTTTGCGTCTCAGTCCAACTAGCCAGTGAAGTGGAGTAGTAAAGAGAGGAGATAGGGTGTCTGCTATAGCATATGAAGATATTCTGTAGGATCCTCTTGAGGAATTGGAGTAAGAGAGGTTTTTTTCTTGAATATTGGACAAAATGGAAGTTCTGATAACATGATCAGTCATATCCTGTTTTACTTCACCTTTTTCAACATCAGATTTTTCCATGGACGGGCTTTCTGAAACATCAATTGCATATTCAAGAATATTGACATGCTGAGGAATGCAACGGCCAGTGGACTTGAGCCTCTCTTCCAGGCAATCCGGGGAACCATCATGAAGAACGATACCACCAGATAACATAATGACTTTATCAAATAACTCAAGAATTCGAAAACCAGGTCGATGGATGCTTATCACGATTGTTTCACAAATGACAAATCCTCAATAAATAAATTAATTTGTGGATAGCCAACTGTGCATCACTTTATGTCTAGTAACAATTCTTCACTTTATGCCAGTGCGCTATTGAATAAAAAAAAAAAATTTTTTTGGGGACAATCACTAATCTAACCTATATTAAGGGATATTCTCGGCAAATGATATCGTCAAAGCACACATTTTAGTTCTACAGCAAACCTCGTGTGCAATGACAACTATAGCTTTTGCCACTCAAAAACTGATCATCATTTTTAAAAGGATAAAAGTGTTATTTCATGAATAGTGAGACTCCTAATTGACTCTCAAAACATGCTCTTTTCCTTTCTCGGCATAAGCGGCTTCTGGTTTCTTTGAAAAAAAAAAATACAAATAAAAACCCAAACTTTTGTGGATTAGACATGAAAAAGTTCTAATGACGACATTTCACTAACTCGTGCAATTAATTAAGTTAAACAACGCAACCAAAAATAGTTAAATTGATACAACATTTTCGGCGGGACTTCTTCTTCAGCAAAGATGCGGCTGTGGAGTTGACTTGTGCATCTAACCCATCACTATTTAAGGTTCAAAAATCTACTTTGTTCCACAAGCGTCAGCTCTCAACTTGTCAATTTGGCTCGTACAAGTTCATTTCTGGACTCGACCTCAATTTGTAAGAATGAATATTTTAGAAATGGTTCAGAAATTTCTTCTCTTAAATTAATCAAATATTGGCTTCTCCCCTTTGTCATCAGTCATAAGTATAATCTAGACGTAAATTTTGCATGGTTGGAGAACTTTTTTTAGTACAGTAAATTTTCTACTGAAGCAGGATGTTTGAAACTGCAAGCTCCACTTGAAGATGTTTGAAAATGATATGTTAACAATCTTGGCATTGAAATTTACTTGCAGTTATGAAAACTAAATAAGTTTCCATTGCTTTGCAACAGATATCATTCATTGCTGTAACCATTGAAATTTTAGACATGTGATTGAAACTGAATTTTCATTGGTGAAGTAACCTATGACTTGTGGTGGTTAATAATGTATTCAATGTATGACAATCAAGGAGCATTTAGGGTTGTTTACACGCAAGTTATTTCTGTCATCATGCTAAACTCTGAATATCTAGAGTTAACCCTTGGGGCGGGGTGTACAGGCGCATGGAGATGAAACTGGCAAAATTGGGATATTTCTAGTATTGAGAAAAAAAAAAAAAAGAAATTTAGAGTTAACATGGTTGTAAGCAACTAATTGCGTGATTTTTCTTATATTTCATGCTTTTTCTATGTTTTGCTAGTGTTGATACATACGCATTATATTCTGATATTGGATGGTTAAGGAGGACAACAATTAATAGAAGGTAAAAAAAAAAACAAAGAATGAAAGTAAAAAACCGTACTTGTACTCTTGATCTGGCCTTCTCCTTCTCCTTAATTAGTAAGACTCCATTATGACGAAGGAAACAAGGGGAGTTGCAATATCCAACAGAAATGGAAAATTATGTAAACACTGAATTGGAAAATCTCTCTCTTCCCTATCAAATTCAAGTGTGCTAATTTGCCCCCAAAAAAAAAATCCAAGTTGAGAGAAAAGGTTCATACGTACAGGACATGCAAGTTTCTTGCATTTAAAGTAAGAGTAACGTACACTAATAATGTGTGCAAAAGTAACGATCTTGTGTCTATATCAAAAAAAAAACACTAAAAGGTTTTGTAATAATGGGTGGATCAATTAATTGTACGCAAAATTGTTGTTTCTGTACACTAGAATTTATACATGAATTGTTCATCCATGAATTGTCCAATTTTCCACCCCTTATCCTGTGGCATCGGTTATACTGCCTATGTAACGGCTGTTCTATATCATCAATTTAACGGAAACAACTCCTATTTCTTTGTCAGAGACTCATAATTCATTCTGCCTTTATTCCTTCTTGTGATTAACTTTCTATTGTGGCCGTTTCAATTGATTATAAACTCAATTGCATTTATTCTAAACGTAAAAACCCACTTCTTGAGTATAATGAGCAAATCCAAGTTGAGATTAAATAGCTGTAACCAACCTTTGACTGATTCATTGTAATTTACACTTTATTTTTTTTACTAGAAAAAAAAATCACTTTAGTCTACAGAGATATGCTTTAACAGCATCAGCCTAGCATGCATGCTTTTATAACATGATGATGATGATGATGATCAGCTGCTTGGACGCTGAGGTGTATAAAGAGGGGCAAGTTTGGTGCAGTTAGTTCGTCCTCCTCCACACTTCATCCTATTCTTTCTCTCCACATGGATTTACCTACTGTGACACCAATTTCTGGTCATCAACAAGTTCTTTATAGTATAAAAACTAAAAATCTTTCTTATAAAATATCAACAACCAGCTACGATCAGCTCGGTTGTGGCGTTAACCAGAAGCCTAGGTGTATTTTGAAGAATGTGAACTGCGAAGCCAAACCGAGGGAGATAACAGCCATTGCTGGCTCCAGTGGAGCAGGAAAAACCACATTGTTGGAAATTCTTGGTGGAGTCATTGTCCCGAATAGAGTCAGCGGTCATGTTCTTGTGAATGATCAGCCTCTGAATGTGACACACTTCCGGAGAATGTCTGGTTATGTGACACAAGATGAAGCTCTATTCCCACTTCTTACTGTTGAAGAGACTATAATGTATAGTGCACGTCTCAGGCTGCGTGTGGGGCGTGAGGTGGCCAAAAAAAGAGTTCAAGAGCTGTTGAAGGAGCTTGGACTGGACCATGTTGCTGATGTGAGAATTGGCAGTGAATCCGGCAGAGGAATTTCTGGTGGCGAGAAGCGTAGAGTATCAATTGGGGTTGATTTAGTTCATGATCCTGCTGTAGTTTTGATTGATGAACCAACATCAGGACTTGACTCTGCCTCTGCTCTTCATGTGATGTTGCTGCTTAAATCCATGGCTAAGAATCAAGGCAAAACCATCTTGTTAAGCATCCATCAACCCGGCTACCGGATTCTTGAGTTATTTGACAAGGTCATTCTATTGTCCAATGGCATTTGTCTTCATGATGGAACCCTGCATTGCCTAGAGGAGAGGCTCGTTTCCACAGGCCATTTCATCCCTCATCATGTCAATGTGCTCGAATTTGCCATTGAGGTCTCAGACAGCCTGCATGTGGAAGAAACTGATATCGAAACTGGTGAATCAGAACATAACACTAACCTTGACAGCAATTCGTCTGTTATTTCCAATGTGGAGGAAAAGCACATATCTTACTCAAATTCCATGTTCAAGGAGATATTAATACTGACTCAGAGATTCTCCAAAAACATCTTCAGAACCAAGCAGCTTTTTGCTGCAAGGACGATTCAAGCTTTGGTTGCAGGGATCCTAATAGGGACAATATTCCTAAACGCATATAATAATCCAAAGAGATCAGACGTACAAACTCAATTTGGATTCTTCGCATTCAGTCTGACGTTTTTGTTGTCATCCACGACAGAAGCTTTGCCAATCTTCTTGCAAGAGCGGAGAATCTTGATGAGAGAGACCTCAAGAGGAGCCTATAGATTATCTTCTTACATCATAGCAAACACTATAGTGTTTCTTCCCTTCCTTCTGTTAGTGGCTCTTCTATTTACTACACCAGTTTACTGGCTAGTTGGATTGAGACGAGATATTGATGGATTTCTGTATTTCTCTCTGGTGGCTTGGATGGTTGTCTTGATGTCAAATTCTTTCGTAGCATGTTTTAGCGCTCTAGTACCAAACTTCATCTCAGGAATGTCCTTGATTGCGGGCATTATAGGGGCATTCTTCCTCTTTTCAGGCTACTTTATACCCAAGGAAAATACGCCCAAGTGTTGGATTTTTATGCACTACTTAAGCTTGTTCAAATATCCTTTTGAGAGCTTTCTGATAAATCAGTTTGGAGGGGACAAGGGGCGAAGGAAATGCGTGGCAAGTGTTGGAAGAGTATGCATACTGCATGGTAATGAGTTCTTGAGGAGGCAAGGCATTGAGGAATCACAGAAATGGAATAACTTAATTATAATGTTGGCTTTCATTTTGGGCTACAGGCTTCTCTGTTTCTTGATTCTGTGCTGCAGATCTTACCGGAGCAGAAACTAAAAGTAGCATCTGAGCATTCAAACTACTAATAACTTGTTAGTTTCTTGATCATTACCTGTGTGAATACCTCAAATATCATCACTGCTGATTCCTTCTTTCTTGATGTCCCGCTGTATCGTTATTCAGCAATGAAGAGAAAAAAGAGGTCCTAGGATTTTAGCAGCTTGTTAAAGTGAAAATAATCTTTTGAACAAAATCCAGCAATTCTTGAGAACTCACCTTTTAGCGCTGAGTTTATTGCTACTTGAGTTGGCATGAATGTCTCATAAGATGGTACTGGAAATACAAATACAGCAATCTACTTAACAAATTGCGTTTTCAAAACTTTGGCATATCCTTCATCCCTTTTTGGCATTTATTTTTCCTTAAATTATCTGGAATTCAGATTACTTAATACAGAAACTAGATCCATGTGTTAGTATATTACCTCGATCATCCCCTGTGAGAGTGCAAAATGGGACAAAACTTAGTTTTAGTTTAGGGGTCAAATTCGAAAGCCAGATATGGTATTGTCCTTCCAGGATAATTCTGAAAAATCTAAGAATGGCCCGTGGTGGTTTTAAAGAGCTAATAAAGAATTGCTTGGAAATCTTCTTTTGGGGAATTAGTTTCTTAACATTTTAAGTTGACCTCCTCCCTTTGTGTACGTCAAAAACTAAAATAAAAATAAAAATAAAGACATATATATATATATATATATTATTAAGAGATCATTTTCTCTAACTTGTCTTTTATTTCCATTTAAGGGCAACTTAATGTTTAATTAATAACACATTTATAGTAAGATCTATAAAAACTAATAACCTTGAGACCACACAAATTCTATTAATTTAA